GGGAAAGGAGAAGCGCCATTCTGACACCTGCCCAGCCTGCCCGACCTGCCCTAACTGCCCAAACTGCCCTTCATCTGCTGCTTGTGTGCCCCCTGCTGCTGCCTCTGTACCCCTTAAAGGCTGCCTTTCTTGCACTGCCTCTGCTGCTCTGGTTGACTGCACGCCATCTGTCCCCTTTATAAGCTGCGCCTTGTGTGCGTCATAAGCCAGCACCATCCCCACGGAGTGTATTATGAGGAATGCTGCAGAGGCAATGGCTGGAAAAGAGGGGCGTGAAAGAAAGGGAGAGACGGAGAGAGAATGGGGAATGAGACTGATAAGCCAGCACCATTCCTAGGGAGTGTATTATGAGGAACGCTGCAGAGGCGATGGCTGGAAAAGAGGGGCGTGAAAGAAAGGGAGGGGAGAGGAAACGCGAGCGGCGGAGAGTGGAGGAGAGAGGAGGCGGGAGAAGGAGCATCATATGCTAGCACATCCCAGGGAGCGTAATATAAAAAACGGTGCAGAGGCAATGGCTGAAAACAGGGAGGATGTGGAGAGGAGAAATGTTTGTGTCACTTTTGATTCTCAGATGGGAGGATGTGGAATGAAGAGGGAAAAGGGACATTTGAGTGGAAGAGAGGAGGAGAGAGAGCACCATAAGCTAGCAGAATCCCCAAAAAGAGTATTATGTAGAACACGATGAGTGAAGTGGAAGGGGAGTGAGGGAGAACAAGAGAGTGAAGTGGGGAGGGGAGAGGGAGTACCTCCAAGCAGGGGGTACGTACCTAGTGAATGGAAGAAACAGGTAGGTCATACCTGCAAGCAGCACGAGGGGCAGCTGGGGGCAGCGCCATGAGTAGAAGGTTGCTGGGCCGATGGCTGGGGAGGAGACGCTGAGGAAGAGGAAGAGAGAGTGCGCGATGCCATGGCCTAGACCGGTGGCTGCATGGTGATGGGAGGGGAGGGGGTTGGGGGGGTTGGAAAGGGGTTGGTTGTAACGGTAAAGGAGAGGACAGGGCAGGGATGCTGAGGAAGAGGAAGAGGGAGTGAAAGTTGCCATGGCCTAGGCCAGTAGGTCCAAGGTGAAAGCAGGAGGGGGTAGGGTACTGTGAGGAAGCTCATATGAAGGAGAGAGCCCTATGAGTGGGTGAGAAGACGCTGAGGAAGAGGAAGAGGGAGTGTGTGGTGCCATGGCCCGAGCCTGCAGCTACAGAGGATGGAAAGTGGAGAGCGGGGGTGAGGGAAAAATGGAAGGTGGGGTTGCAGGGATGAGGGAAAGATAACACGGGGTAGAAAGAGGTTGGAGAGAGCGAGCGATCCCATAGCCTAGACCAGTAGCTATAGAGGATGTGGGTTTCGGGGGGTGTTGGGAGGGAGGGTTGTTGGGTGGGGGGGAAGAGGGGTTTACTCGCTTGGGTGGTACTGGTACTTACCGAGGGAGAGGTGGAAGGTGTTGAGAGGGGAGAGTGGAGGCAGGCGCCTCGCAGCGGCTATGGTGTTTAGCCCGCGCTCCAGGCGACTGAAGGTTGTGGGGTACAAAGGGAGGAAACTTTTGAGTCAACTTAAAAGTCACCTCTTTTGAGTCGACTCAAAAGTTGCAGGCGCCTCGCAGCGGCTATGGTGTTTCGCCTGCGCTCCAGGCGACTGGGTGGTTTGGGGGGGACAAAGGAAGGAAGACGAAGGGAGGAGGAAAAGGGAGGGGGAATTTGACGGATCACAACAAGTGTCTCACAGTAGCTATGGCGTTTAGACTGCGCTCCAGGAGACTGGAGGTTGGGGGGAAGAACGGGTGGAAGAAAAAGGGAGGGACAAGTGGTGGGAACAAAAGGCGAAAGTATGAAAGCAGGGTGCTTAAAAGCAGGATGCCTAGGAGTGCCTGAAGAAGGGTTGCTAGAAGCAGCATGTTTACAAGGGAAAGCTTGAACAGAGGGGGTGCTTGAAGCAGCATGCTTATAAGGAAAAAGTCTGAAAGAGGGGTGCTTGCACTGACATGCTTACAATCGCATTTGGCAGCGTAGCTGTCGAGGCCAATAGCAGAGAGGATGAGTAGTAGAAGCAGAAGTATGCGTAAAAATTCACATAGGGGCCTTGTCAAGGGAAAGGGAGGGCTTAGACCAACATGCTTACAAGAGGATTTGGCAGAGCAGTTGCCTAGAGAGCTCTTGGCCGGCAACAGCAGAGAGGATGAGGAGGAGGAAGAAGAGGTGCAGCAGGAAGAGGAGGTGTGGGAAGGGGGCTTTGTCAATGGGAAGGGGGTGCTTACACCGATATGCTTACAAGAGTATTTGGCAGAGCAGCTGTCTGGATAGATGTTAGGCAGCAACAGCAGAGAGGATGAGGAGGAGGAAAAAGGAGGGGAGGACGGCCCGTGGGAAACAGGAGATTGACTTGAGGTAGTCGAGGACTTACAAGAGTATTTGACACAGCAACTGTCAGGATAGCTCTTGGGCGGCGACGGCATAGAGGATGAGGAGGAGGAAGAGGAAGGAGCGGAAGCAGACACATGAAAAATAGGGAGATTGACCCAGGGACTGCGGGGACTTACAAGAGTATCTGGCAGAGCAGCTGTCGGGATAGCTCTTGGGTGGCGACGGCAGAGAGGATGAGAGGAGGAGGAAGAGCAGCAGGTGGAGGAGGTTTGGGAAGGGGGCCTTGCTTGTCAATGGGAAGGGGGTGCTCACACCGATATACTTACAAGAGTATTTGGCAGAGCAGCTGGCGGGATAGCTCTTGACCAGCAACAGCAGAGAGAATGAGAAGGAGGAGGAAGAAGTCAGAGAGAGATGTGAGGGCGATGAAGGGACGCCAGAGGAAGGCGATTGCGAGGAGGGTGATGAGCCAATAGAAGGTGCTGTTGGTGGGAGGAGGGGAGGAGGGGAGGGACGGAACGAAAGGTGGATTAATCAGCGAGAGATGTGAGGGCGATGAAGGGACGCCAGAGAAAGGCGATTGAGAGGAGCGTGATGAGCCAATAGAAGGTGCTGTTGGTGGTGGGGAGGGAAGAATGGGGAGAGAAATGGAAGAGTGGAGGGAATACTCAGAGAGAGCAGTGAGGGCGATGAAGGGACGCCAGAGGAAGGCGATTGCGAGGAGCGTGATGAGCCAATAGAAGGTGCTGTTGGTGGGGAGGAAGGGAGGAGGGGAAGGAGAAAAGGAGGAAACGTTCGGAAAAAGGAGTGGGGTGATGAAGGGAAGAAAGGTAGGAAGAGGCGAGGGAAAGGGGAGGAGAAGATGGGGGGGGGGAAGCGCAAAGTGTGGTGTGGAGGGATGGGGGGTGGATTCGAAGACGGGAGGATGAGGTGAGACAAAATGGGGAGTAGAAAACGAGCCATTTCGAGCTGCTTCGAGGAACGAGACCAGAAAAAGAAGGGGAGACGATACCCTGCTGGTTAGTGGCCACAATTCATTAAATGCTCTATGATGCTAAAAACATGTGGCTTGCCGTGACTGTCAACACCTGATGAGAGTAACGAGCGATTTTTGAACGAGAGCGACTGTAAGCACCTGGTGAGAGTAACGAGCGAGAGGAACGCCTGTCGCGACACGGTAACGGCGATCACGGCAATGGCCGGCCCGAAGCCAATCAGAAACGCGCCGCAAAACGCGGCGAATGTCATCTCGGCCGACCAATCGTCGGTCGAGAAAAGGCTGAGACGATTCTTAAGTTCCAACTAACCCATGCCGCTGATAGATTTTATTGCCGAATAACACTTCTGTGATGAAATTTTGTGTCTCCTGATGGTTCCTGGATGTAAATCGCCTGGTAACTTCAGATTCCGGAGCCTGGAAGCAAAGGGCGGGTCCAGCGCGTACATTTACAGCTCCTGTACAGTTCATCCTCGTGGTTTAAAACCAGGGTGCACATTCAATTGGATTTCTGTCAAAGGTTAAAACCAGGGTGCACATTCAACGCGGTTCGGCTTGAGATGTTGGGAAGGGGGTTTGGAGAAAAACAGTGATTGGCTCACGAGGGGCGACAAAAAAATGATTCCGCTAGAGCTTCGGGCATTTCGTAGGTGGCGGGAGGGGGTGAAATGGCGGGAGTGGGTGAAACCGAATGGCGGGAGGGATGAAACATATTGGCGGGAGGGGGGGGAAACGAAATTGCGGGGGAGGGGGGAAACAAAATTGCGGGGGAGGGGGGAAACGAATTTCGACGGGGAGGGGGAAATGAAATTGCGGGGGCGTGGGGAAACGAAATTGCGGGGGAGGGGGGAAACGAATTTCGACTTGAAGGGGTTGAAAGCACACCTCGTAACCCACTCAGTCAAGGGATAACCTTTGATGCACATTCAGCTGAATGTGCACCCCGGTTTTAACCTTTGACCTCGGGGTTACTCAGTGATTTAGGAATATCTGGGGGGAGTGTTCGCTTCAGCAGGTGAACATTTGAACCCTCGAGATTTGGCAAATGTATACCGGAAGTCATCGAATGTGCTTCCGCCAATTCGTTTCCCCCCTCCCCATACCTATTCCGCTCCCACCGAAATTGTTTCCCCTTCCCCCACAATATCGTCTCACCCCCTTTCCCCTTTCCGCCAACCCAGTTGCCCTCCCCTTGGATCCCCAATTTCTAGATCCAAGTGTTATCAATTTCTCCCCTGCCAAGCCTCATCTCTCACGGACGAAAAGCCCCATGCTCGCCCATTCTCAACTATTTATTCGCTACTCGTCAACCAATCAGCAGTTCCCGCAAACATGCCGCCCAAAATTTAGCCTGGAGTCGCGTTGAATGTGTACCCTGGTTTTAAGACGATATCAGGCGGCGCACAACGGTTCTCAATCTTCACCGCTTTGCACCGTGACACAGGACGAATAACCGCACATAATGAACTGTAAACCAGCTGAAAACGAAAGCTGCGTTCGCCAATGTTACCGTTGAAGGACAACATCCACAAAGCATACAACTATTTCCAGCTTCTGCAAGGATGCCATTTCTGAAAAACGGTGTGTAATTTCATTTATGCATCCCTTTATCTAGAAGTTTAGAACCACAGCACACCACACGCGTGCATCCTTCATTGCTCGCTGTACATAGCAGACTGCTCCATAACTGTAGCTTCCCGCTGGTTACCGCCCGTAACACCAGCAGCACCAGCAGCAGGGGCGAGGGCTTCAGCAGGCAGCAGGTCGCACTGAGCCACGTGCTGCAGCAGTTGATCCGCTAGGACTAAGGCAACCATCGCTTCCACCATTGGGACAGCTGGAGAGAGGTGAAAGGAAGGAGAAAGGAGGGGAGGAGATGAGTGGAGAGCATCAGCAGGCATACAGCAGGTCGCACTGAGCCACACGAGCGCAACCATCGCTTTCATCCATACAGCTTTAACAGCCCCATAATTTCAACCTTGACAAGCTAATGTTTTCCCAGAAAACACCCACTTCTAGGCCCAGAAAAATTGCCTCCGCCACCCACCTATGAACACCGCAACCCACCTATAGACACCGCAACCCACCTATGGACACCGCAAGCCACCTATGGACACCGCAACCCACCTCTGGGCACCACAACCAACCTCTGGGCACTGCAACCCACCTCTGGGCACCACAACCAACCTCTCGGCACCGCAACCCACCTCTGGGAACCACGCAGGGGTCGTGCCGGCCACGTGCCTTGAGCTCTGTCTCCACTCCCTCGCGAGTCACTGTGCGCTGACTCCTCTGTTTAGGTACAGGGAAAAAAAGGAGCGGCGGGGAGGGAGTTGATGAGGTAAGAAGCTTCATGTTATGCCTTGAAGCGAATCCCATGTGCCTTGAGCTCTGTCTCCACGCCCTTCCTGGTCTCGGTGCGCTGACTCCTCTGTTGGGATGCAGAAAGAGGGAAGGTGGGAGGGAAGGTGGGAAGATGAAAGGAGTGACAAGTCCCAGGAATGTGGGCATTGATGAAGCACAGCTGCAAGCTGTCATGCCGTTGTGAGAGATTCTGGAAATTTCTCAGAAATAGCTCACAGAGATGAAGGGAGTGATCGGACCAGGGGCTTGATGAAGCACAGATGCAAACTCTGATCCTTAACTGTCCCAGGAAGGCCCTCTGAATGGTCCTCGAAAGGGTGCAATGCAAGGACCAGCACAACCATCCACAATGAGTCAATACAAGCGCGACTCAGTGACAACATACTGTGATAGTGGAAGTAGGCTTGAATGCCACGCGCACGACTATGTTCTCCCCGTTCGAGATGCCACCCTGAATGCCCCCCTGAATGCCTACACTGTTGTACCAGGCTGGCACTGAATGCGATTCAAAACACACATACCGTGATGGTGGAGGTGGGTTTGAACGCCACGCGCACCACAATGTTCTCCCCGTTCGAGATGCCGCCCTGAATGCCCCCCGAGCGATTGGTGCGCGTGCGAATGGCCCCGTCAGTGGCAACGTAGAACTCGTCATTGTGCTCGCTGCCTAGCATGCGTGTGCCTGGGGGGAGTGAGGGGCGAGATGGGGGGGTGTGAGAGGGGATAAAGGCCAAACACGTGAGAGGGGATAAAGGCCAAACACGTGAGAGGGGATAAAGGCCAAACACGTGAGTGCGGATCGCCCCGTCTGGAGCCACGTAGAACTCGTCATTATGCTCACTGCCCAGCATGCGCATGCCTGTAGGGGAGGTGGTGGAAAAAGGGATATAGGGGAGGAAAGTTGAGGCTCAGATCACAGGCACAGGGAGCGAATGCAGCTGGTCCTATCTGGAGCAACATAAAACTCGTCGTTGTGCTCACTGCCTAGCATGCGTGTGCCTGTAGGGTGTGGTGGGTGGGGGAATCAAAATATGGTGGTTTCCGGAACAGGGAGTGAGTGCGGTTGGTCCTGTTAGGGGCCATATAGAACTCGTCGTTGTGCTCACTGCCTAGCATGCGTGTGCCTGCAGGAGAGCGAACGAGAGATGGATGGCTGAAAGAAGGCCATAACAGGAAGCAGGCTGCACGAATGGTGGAAGCACTAGTGCATATCCGGATTCGCAGGCAAAAAACATCAAGAACCATGCCTGGGAGAAACTCCCTTTGTAAAGTGCTTCTTATTGAAATACCTGAGAAGCCACTTCCGATTTCGAAACCCTTGGTGGCTGGAAGAGACATGAGGGCACGGGCTAGCTCGGCTTCCAGCTTGTCAAATACAGGCGAGCCCAGACCCTGGTGGGGTGGCGAAGGGGAGAAGAGGTGTGGGTGGCAAGGGAGGAGGAAAAGAAGAAGTGGATTGGCGAGACATGAGCGCAACAGAAGCCACTTCCGATTTCGAAACCCTTGGTGGCTGGAAGAGACATGAGCGCACGGGCAAAAGTTCTGCCTCTCTAGCCCAGACCCTGACTGAGGGGGAAGGTGAAGGGAGGGAGACAGGGGAGGATTGAAGGATGGAAGGAAAATGGCGACACATGAGCGTTCGTGCTAACTCTGTTTCCAGATTGTCAAACACAGGCGAGACCAGACCCTGGCGTGGGGAGGGGAGGGAGGAGGACGAGGGAGTAACGAAAGAGGGAAGAGCGAAGGGGGAATGGAGGGAGGAAAAACGGCGAGAGGGGTGAGCGCTCGTGCTAGCTCAGCTTCCGGCTTGTCCAACACAGGCGAGCCCAGACCCTTGTGTGGGGAGGGGAAGGAGAAAACGAGGGGGGAAGGGAAGAAGGAAGGAAGCGAGCAAGGAGGGAGGAAAGTGGAATGGTGAGAGACATGAGCGCACGCACGTGCTAGCTCGACTTTCAGCTTGCCAAACAAAGGCGAGCCCAGACCCTGGCGAAGGAAGGGAGGGGAAGGAGAGAGGGAGAAAGGGAAAAGAGTGGAATGTTGAGAGACATGAGCGATTGAACCTTCAAACCCATCTTCCCCTTCTACACACCCATCTCAATCTCACTCACTACACATAGACATGAGCACAAGGGCGAACACCTGTTCGGTTCGCCTCGAACGTGTTCGAGGCGAACCGAACAGGTTTGTTTTTTTTGCTTAAATTGTTCGCCGAACAGTGTTCGATGTTCGCCCGAACACGTTCGTGTTCGGGCCGCTGCTGCAATTTGCCCCGCGACGAACACGAACGTGTTCGAGGTTCGCCCGAACATGCCTTCATAGGCGAACGGCGAACACGTGTTTTTGCTTAAAGTGTTCGCCGAACCGAACAGTGTTCGGTTCGGCAAACGGATGTGTTCGTCTAGGGGCGAACACGAACATGTTCGTGTTCGCCCCTTGCTCATCCCTAACTACACATATCACCCTTCATCACCACACACCCCCACACCTATTTCACCCCGGGGAATGCATGGTTGGTCATTTACGTTTACGTTTACGTACGTACGTGTACGCGGCTGTTGGGTTGGAGGCCTAATGTACGGGCAGGTGAAAAAAATTCTGGGCTGCCCGAATATGTATATTTTTTCTCTAGTACTCCCTCGTAATCATGATTTCCATCATATAGTGTAAACATTCCATTACAACCTCGTAATTTCCCAAATAACAAAAATACCATCATGCGAATTGGTTTGACTCGAAGTTGGGATTCGCCGAAACCAGTGAAGGTCGGCGGTGACGAAACTGCCGAGCGGGTGACATTCGCTTACCTTGCAAGCGAAGCAATCGCGATCTGAGTCAAACTGTTTGCAATGTTCTATCGCGAACAGTTTGTACACATTCAGATCTACTCCCACCACAATTTCCTCCCTCCCTCTCTCGACAGACTTAGCTATCGTAGTTCTACCACCTTTGTCGACATAGTACGGAGGGTAGACGCCACACCATAGCAACCATAGCTAGCAACCTTCCTGTTTCTTACATTACTACTTTGAAAAACGTCGCGCCGTACTAACACGCTAACAGAGCACAGGTCGTCGAAAGCTTATTTCTTTTTTAGGTTTTCGGAAACCGTTTTCAAAGAACTTTCTAGGGGAACTTTTTTTTTTACCTGCCCGGCGTACGTACACGTACGTACGCGTACGTACATGTAAACGTACATGTACACGTACGTTACGTGTACGTGGGCTGAAATGGCGTAAATGACCAACTTAGGGGGAATGTTCATTGCGGCGCAGGTGACCACACCCCAACAGGAGATCCTCTTGATTTCGCACTTCTCTCTCTCTGTACGCTATATGAAGGTTCACATCACACTACACACATAATGGCGGGCGAGAAACCACCACACTTTTCATCTCCTCCACACCCTTCTTCACCCACACACATCTCACCCGGGGAATGTTCCTGGCCACGCAGGTGACCACGCCGCCACACGAATCACCCTTCACCCTCACAGCGTCAATCGCATCGATCATTCGCTCTGCAATGGCAGCATCGGGGCAACGCACTATGTTGGCCTCCACCTGACACGCCGAAGGGAGAGAGGGAGGAAAGGGGGGAGGGAGGAGGCGGTGTTGGGATTGCCTTTCACCCTCACAGCATCAATGGCATCGATATTTTTTTCCACCACTGCCGCATTGGGGCAACGCACAATGTTGGCCTCCACCTGAGAAGAAGAGGAGCAGGAAGCGAAGAATGCGGAGAAGGGGGCGCACAGTACGATACACATCAGCAGCGAGTTGCCATTCACCCCCAAAGCGTCAATCGCATCAATAATTCGCTCCGCCACTGCTGCATTGGGGCAACGCACGATGTTGGCCTCAACCTGTGGCATGGCCATGGGGGGAGGGAGAACGGGGGGGTAAGGAGGAGAGCTTTGGGATTGCCATTCACCCCCAAAGCGTCAATCGCATCAATAATTCGCTCCGCCACTGCCGCATCGTCGGGGCAACGCACGATGTTGGCCTCCACCTGACACACCCAGGGGTGAGAGGTGGGAAGGGAGAAGGGGAGGAAGGGTGGCTGGGTTTGCCTTTCACCCTCTCAGGCTTCAATTAATGGCTTCAATCAAATGTTAGGTCACAGCTCAGCTCAGCTGCATCAGGGCAACGCACACTGTTGCTGTCCACCTGAAGGAAACTTAGAAAGGGAGCGAGAGAAATCACCAACCATCGAGGATGGGAGTCTCCTTTCACTCTCACAGCATTAACTGATGAAGTGGCTGAGATTATTGCCTATTCACTTTGCACTGATTTAACTTGCCCGTCAGGTATAATCCCACCTGGTCCAGTGTGACTGTATCGAGGTCGATAGCATCCTCTGGCAGGTCCACATGGTGCACTTGTGACACAAACGCGAGCACCTGGTGAGAGGGAGGAAGGGGTCATGGATGCGGGGGGTGGAGGGGAGAGGAGGAGGGCAGAAGAGGTTGCACCGGCAAGTCGATAGCATCCTCTGGCAGGTCCACATGGTGCACTTGTGACACAAACGCGAGCATCTAGCAAGAGAGAGAAAGGGCGGAGGGGGGGAGGGTGACCGGAGGAGAAGGTGAGAGGTGTAGAGAGAGAGATAGAGCGTCCTTATCGCATACTAAAAAAATGTCAAGACCCTGGCAGGCAGGACAACAAGGTGAACTTGAGACACAAACTTTTGAGAATTCTCAAAAGTTCAAAAACTGTCAAGACCCTGGCAGGAGTTGATTTTTGAGGCGCCTCAAACAGAATGTCAAGACCCTGGCAGGAGTTGATTTTTGAGGCGCCTCAAACAAAATGTCAAGACCCTGGCAGGAGTTGATTTTTGAGGCGCCTCAAACAAAATGTCAAGACCCTGGCAGGAGTTGATTTTTGAGGCGCCTCAAACAAAATGTCAAGACCCTGGCAGGAGTTGATTTTTGAGGCGCCTCAAACAAAATGTCAAGACCCTGGCAGGAGTTGATTTTTGAGGCGCCACAAACAAAATGTCAAGACCCTGGCAGGAGTTGATTTTTGAGGCGCCACAAACAAAATGTCAAGACCCTGGCAGGAGTTGATTTTTGAGGCGCCTCAAACAAAATGTCAAGACCCTGGCAGGAGTTGATTTTTGAGGCGCCTCAAACAAAATGTCAAGACCCTGGCAGGAGTTGATTTTTGAGGCGCCTCAAACAAAATGTCAAGACCCTGGCAGGAGTTGATTTTTGAGGCGCCTCAAACAAAATGTCAAGACCCTGGCAGGAGTTGATTTTTGAGGCGCCTCAAACAAAATGTCAAGACCCTGGCAGGAGTTGATTTTTGAGGCGCCTCAAACAAAATGTCAAGACCCTGGCAGGAGTTGATTTTTGAGGCGCCTCAAACAAAATGTCAACACCCTGGCAGGAGTTGATTTTTGAGGCGCCTCAAACAAAATGTCAAGACCCTGGCAGGAGTTGATTTTTGAGGCGCCACAAACAAAATGTCAAGACCCTGGCAGGAGTTGATTTTTGAGGCGCCACAAACAAAATGTCAAAACCCTGGCAGGAGTTGATTTTTGAGGCGCCACAAACAAAATGTCAAGACCCTGGCAGGAGTTGATTTTTGAGGCGCCACAAACAAAATGTCAAGACCCTGGCAGGAGTTGATTTTTGAGGCGCCTCAAACAAAATGTCAAGACCCTGGCAGGAGTTGATTTTTGAGGCGCCTCAAACAAAATGTCAAGACCCTGGCAGGAGTTGATTTTTGAGGCGCCTCAAACAAAATGTCAAGAACCTGGCAGGAGTTGATTTTTGAGGCGCCACAAACAAAATGTCAAGACCCTGGCAGGAGTTGATTTTTGAGGCGCCACAAACAAAATGTCAAGACCCTGGCAGGAGTTGATTTTTGAGGCGCCTCAAACAAAATGTCAAGTCCCTGGCAGGAGTTGATTTTTGAGGCGCCTCAAACAAAATGTCAAGTCCCTGGCAGGAGTTGATTTTTGAGGCGCCACAAACAAAATGTCAAGACCCTGGCAGGAGTTGATTTTTGAGGCGCCACAAAAACAAAATGTCAAGACCCTGGCAGAAGTTGATTTTTGAGGCGCCTCAAACAAAATGTCAAGACCCTGGCAGGAGTTGATTTTTGAGGCGCCACAAACAAAATGTCAAGACCCTGGCAGGAGTTGATTTTTGAGGCGCCTCAAACAAAATGTCAAGACCCTGGCAGGAGTTGATTTTTGAGGCGCCTCAAACAAAATGTCAAGACCCTGGCAGGAGTTGATTTTTGAGGCGCCTCAAACAAAATGTCAAGACCCTGGCAGGAGTTGATTTTTGAGGCGCCTCAAACAAAATGTCAAGACCCTGGCAGGAGTTGATTTTTGAGGCGCCTCAAACAAAATGTCAAGACCCTGGCAGGAGTTGATTTTTGAGGCGCCTCAAACAAAATGTCAAGACCCTGGCAGGAGTTGATTTTTGAGGCGCCTCAAACAAAATGTCAAGTCCCTGGCAGGAGTTGATTTTTGAGGCGCCTCAAACAAAATGTCAAGACCCTGGCAGGAGTTGATTTTTGAGGCGCCACAAACAAAATGTCAAGACCCTGGCAGGAGTTGATTTTTGAGGCGCCTCAAACAAAATGTCAAGACCCTGGCAGGAGTTGATTTTTGAGGCGCCTCAAACAAAATGTCAAGACCCTGGCAGGAGTTGATTTTTGAGGCGCCTCAAACAAAATGTCAAGACCCTGGCAGGAGTTGATTTTTGAGGCGCCTCAAACAAAATGTCAAGACCCTGGCAGGAGTTGATTTTTGAGGCGCCTCAAACAAAATGTCAAGACCCTGGCAGGAGTTGATTTTTGAGGCGCCTCAAACAAAATGTCAAGACCCTGGCAGGAGTTGATTTTTGAGGCGCCTCAAACAAAATGTCAAGACCCTGGCAGGAGTTGATTTTTGAGGCGCCTCAAACAAAATGTCAAGACCCTGGCAGGAGTTGATTTTTGAGGCGCCACAAACAAAATGTCAAGACCCTGGCAGGAGTTGATTTTTGAGGCGCCACAAACAAAATGTCAAGACCCTGGCAGGAGTTGATTTTTGAGGCGCCTCAAACAAAATGTCAAGACCCTGGCAGGAGTTGATTTTTGAGGCGCCACAAACAAAATGTCAAGACCCTGGCAGGAGTTGATTTTTGAGGCGCCTCAAACAAAATGTCAAGACCCTGGCAGGAGTTGATTTTTGAGGCGCCTCAAACAAAATGTCAAGACCCTGGCAGGAGTTGATTTTTGAGGCGCCACAAACAAAATGTCAAGACCCTGGCAGGAGTTGATTTTTGAGGCGCCACAAACAAAATGTCAAGACCCTGGCAGGAGTTGATTTTTGAGGCGCCACTAAAAAAATGTCAAGACCCTGGCAGGCAGGACAACAAGGTGAACTTGAGACACAAACTTTTGAGAATTCTCAAAAGTTCAAAAACTGTCAAGACCCTGGCAGGAGTTGATTTTTGAGGCGCCACAAACAAAATGTCAAGACCCTGGCAGGAGTTGATTTTTGAGGCGCCACAAACAAAATGTCAAGACCCTGGCAGGAGTTGATTTTTGAGGCGCCACTAAAAAAATGTCAAGACCCTGGCAGGCAGGACAACAAGGTGAACTTGAGACACAAACTTTTGAGAATTCTCAAAAGTTCAAAAACTGTCAAGACCCTGGCAGGAGTTGATTTTTGAGGCGCCTCAAACAAAATGTCAAGACCCTGGCAGGAGTTGATTTTTGAGGCGCCTCAAACAAAATGTCAAGACCCTGGCAGGAGTTGATTTTTGAGGCGCCTCAAACAAAATGTCAAGACCCTGGCAGGAGTTGATTTTTGAGGCGCCACAAACAAAATGTCAAGACCCTGGCAGGAGTTGATTTTTGAGGCGCCACAAACAAAATGTCAAGACCCTGGCAGGAGTTGATTTTTGAGGCGCCTCAAACAAAATGTCAAGACCCTGGCAGGAGTTGATTTTTGAGGCGCCTCAAACAAAATGTCAAGACCCTGGCAGGAGTTGATTTTTGAGGCGCCTCAAACAAAATGTCAAGACCCTGGCAGGAGTTGATTTTTGAGGCGCCACAAACAAAATGTCAAGACCCTGGCAGGAGTTGATTTTTGAGGCGCCTCAAACAAAATGTCAAGACCCTGGCAGGAGTTGATTTTTGAGGCGCCTCAAACAAAATGTCAAGACCCTGGCAGGAGTTGATTTTTGAGGCGCCACAAACAAAATGTCAAGACCCTGGCAGGAGTTGATTTTTGAGGCGCCACAAACAAAATGTCAAGACCCTGGCAGGAGTTGATTTTTGAGGCGCCTCAAACAAAATGTCAAGACCCTGGCAGGAGTTGATTTTTGAGGCGCCTCAAACAAAATGTCAAGACCCTGGCAGGAGTTCATTTTTGAGGCGCCTCAAACAAAATGTCAAGACCCTGGCAGGAGTTGATTTTTGAGGCGCCTCAAACAAAATGTCAAGACCCTGGCAGGAGTTGATTTTTGAGGCGCCTCAAACAAAATGTCAAGACCCTGGCAGGAGTTGATTTTTGAGGCGCCTCAAACAAAATGTCAAGACCCTGGCAGGAGTTGATTTTTGAGGCGCCTCAAACAAAATGTCAAGACCCTGGCAGGAGTTGATTTTTGAGGCGCCTCAAACAAAATGTCAAGACCCTGGCAGGAGTTGATTTTTGAGGCGCCACAAACAAAATGTCAAGACCCTGGCAGGAGTTGATTTTTGAGGCGCCACAAAAACAAAATGTCAAGACCCTGGCAGAAGTTGATTTTTGAGGCGCCTCAAACAAAATGTCAAGACCCTGGCAGGAGTTGATTTTTGAGGCGCCACAAACAAAATGTCAAGACCCTGGCAGGAGTTGATTTTTGAGGCGCCTCAAACAAAATGTCAAGACCCTGGCAGGAGTTGATTTTTGAGGCGCCTCAAACAAAATGTCAAGACCCTGGCAGGAGTTGATTTTTGAGGCGCCTCAAACAAAATGTCAAGACCCTGGCAGGAGTTGATTTTTGAGGCGCCTCAAACAAAATGTCAAGACCCTGGCAGGAGTTGATTTTTGAGGCGCCTCAAACAAAATGTCAAGACCCTGGCAGGAGTTGATTTTTGAGGCGCCTCAAACAAAATGTCAAGACCCTGGCAGGAGTTGATTTTTGAGGCGCCTCAAACAAAATGTCAAGTCCCTGGCAGGAGTTGATTTTTGAGGCGCCTCAAACAAAATGTCAAGACCCTGGCAGGAGTTGATTTTTGAGGCGCCACAAACAAAATGTCAAGACCCTGGCAGGAGTTGATTTTTGAGGCGCCTCAAACAAAATGTCAAGACCCTGGCAGGAGTTGATTTTTGAGGCGCCTCAAACAAAATGTCAAGACCCTGGCAGGAGTTGATTTTTGAGGCGCCTCAAACAAAATGTCAAGACCCTGGCAGGAGTTGATTTTTGAGGCGCCTCAAACAAAATGTCAAGACCCTGGCAGGAGTTGATTTTTGAGGCGCCTCAAACAAAATGTCAAGACCCTGGCAGGAGTTGATTTTTGAGGCGCCTCAAACAAAATGTCAAGACCCTGGCAGGAGTTGATTTTTGAGGCGCCTCAAACAAAATGTCAAGACCCTGGCAGGAGTTGATTTTTGAGGCGCCTCAAACAAAATGTCAAGACCCTGGCAGGAGTTGATTTTTGAGGCGCCACAAACAAAATGTCAAGACCCTGGCAGGAGTTGATTTTTGAGGCGCCACAAACAAAATGTCAAGACCCTGGCAGGAGTTGATTTTTGAGGCGCCTCAAACAAAATGTCAAGACCCTGGCAGGAGTTGATTTTTGAGGCGCCACAAACAAAATGTCAAGACCCTGGCAGGAGTTGATTTTTGAGGCGCCTCAAACAAAATGTCAAGACCCTGGCAGGAGTTGATTTTTGAGGCGCCTCAAACAAAATGTCAAGACCCTGGCAGGAGTTGATTTTTGAGGCGCCACAAACAAAATGTCAAGACCCTGGCAGGAGTTGATTTTTGAGGCGCCACAAACAAAATGTCAAGACCCTGGCAGGAGTTGATTTTTGAGGCGCCACTAAAAAAATGTCAAGACCCTGGCAGGCAGGACAACAAGGTGAACTTGAGACACAAACTTTTGAGAATTCTCAAAAGTTCAAAAACTGTCAAGACCCTGGCAGGAGTTGATTTTTGAGGCGCCTCAAACAAAATGTCAAGACCCTGGCAGGAGTTGATTTTTGAGGCGCCTCAAACAAAATGTCAAGACCCTGGCAGGAGTTGATTTTTGAGGCGCCTCAAACAAAATGTCAAGACCCTGGCAGGAGTTGATTTTTGAGGCGCCACAAACAAAATGTCAAGACCCTGGCAGGAGTTGATTTTTGAGGCGCCACAAACAAAATGTCAAGACCCTGGCAGGAGTTGATTTTTGAGGCGCCTCAAACAAAATGTCAAGACCCTGGCAGGAGTTGATTTTTGAGGCGCCTCAAACAAAATGTCAAGACCCTGGCAGGAGTTGATTTTTGAGGCGCCTCAAACAAAATGTCAAGACCCTGGCAGGAGTTGATTTTTGAGGCGCCACAAACAAAATGTCAAGACCCTGGCAGGAGTTGATTTTTGAGGCGCCTCAAACAAAATGTCAAGACCCTGGCAGGAGTTGATTTTTGAGGCGCCTCAAACAAAATGTCAAGACCCTGGCAGGAGTTGATTTTTGAGGCGCCACAAACAAAATGTCAAGACCCTGGCAGGAGTTGATTTTTGAGGCGCCACAAACAAAATGTCAAGACCCTGGCAGGAGTTGATTTTTGAGGCGCCTCAAACAAAATGTCAAGACCCTGGCAGGAGTTGATTTTTGAGGCGCCTCAAACAAAATGTCAAGACCCTGGCAGGAGTTCATTTTTGAGGCGCCTCAAACAAAATGTCAAGACCCTGGCAGGAGTTGATTTTTGAGGCGCCTCAAACAAAATGTCAAGACCCTGGCAGGAGTTGATTTTTGAGGCGCCTCAAACAAAATGTCAAGACCCTGGCAGGAGTTGATTTTTGAGGCGCCTCAAACAAAATGTCAAGACCCTGGCAGGAGTTGATTTTTGAGGCGCCTCAAACAAAATGTCAAGACCCTGGCAGGAGTTGATTTTTGAGGCGCCTCAAACAAAATGTCAAGACCCTGGCAGGAGTTGATTTTTGAGGCGCCACAAACAAAATGTCAAGACCCTGGCAGGAGTTGATTTTTGAGGCGCCACAAACAAAATGTCAAGACCCTGGCAGGAGTTGATTTTTGAGGCGCCTCAAACAAAATGTCAAGACCCTGGCAGGAGTTGATTTTTGAGGCGCCACAAACAAAATGTCAAGACCCTGGCAGGAGTTGATTTTTGAGTCGCCTCAAACAAAATGTCAAGACCCTGGCAGGAGTTGATTTTTGAGGCGCCTCAAACAAAATGTCAAGACCCTGGCAGGAGTTGATTTTTGAGGCGCCACAAACAAAATGTCAAGACCCTGGCAGGAGTTGATTTTTGAGGCGCCACAAACAAAATGTCAAGACCCTGGCAGGAGTTGATTTTTGAGGCGCCACAAACAAAATGTCAAGACCCTGGCAGGAGTTGATTTTTGAGGCGCCTCAAACAAAATGTCAAGACCCTGGCAGGAGTTGATTTTTGAGGCGCCACAAACAAAATGTCAAGACCCTGGCAGGAGTTGATTTTTGAGGCGCCTCAAACAAAATGTCAAGACCCTGGCAGGAGTTGATTTTTGAGGCGCCTCAAACAAAATGTCAAGACCCTGGCAGGAGTTGATTTTTGAGGCGCCTCGAACAAAATGTCAAGACCCTGGCAGGAGTTGATTTTTGAGGCGCCTCAAACAAAATGTCAAGACCCTGGCAGGAGTTGATTTTTGAGGCGCCTCAAACAAAATGTCAAGACCCTGGCAGGAGTTGATTTTTGAGGCGCCTCAAACAAAATGTCAAGACCCTGGCAGGAGTTGATTTTTGAGGCGCCTCAAACAAAATGTCAAGACCCTGGCAGGAGTTGATTTTTGAGGCGCCACAAACAAAATGTCAAGACCCTGGCAGGAGTTGATTTTTGAGGCGCCACAAACAAAATGTCAAGACCCTGGCAGGAGTTGATTTTTGAGGCGCCTCAAACAAAATGTCAAGACCCTGGCAGGAGTTGATTTTTGAGGCGCCACAAACAAAATGTCAAGACCCTGGCAGGCAGGACAACAAGGTGAACTTGAGACACCAACGCAACACCAGCACCTAGCGAGGGCATAAACACAGATAAGACAAGACATGCCAGCCAAAAGGTAGAATAAAAACTCACAAACACAGACAACAGCAGCTTACATCGGTGCCTGAGTGGAGGGCGAGAAGCTTCTTGGCAATTGCACCAGCCGCCACTCGGCCAATAGTTTCGCGAGCTGACGACCGGCCTCCGCCCTGAGTGTGGGGGGGAAGGAAGAGAGGGAGGAGAGGAGCAGTGTGAGGAAGAGAGATGCAGCGTGCACGCTGAAGTTTTGAGACGTCTCAAGACTCGGCCAATAATTTCATGAGATGACGACCCGCCTCCTCCCTGATTGTGCAGGGGAGGGTGTTGTGAGGTTTGGAGTGGGGGGAAGTGGGGGTAGAGGGGAAAAGTGAAGGGACTTGAGGAATAACAGTGCACTGCATGCTCATTGGTGGCTCGAGCTGGCCTATGTAATTGAGAGATGGGGAGCATTTTGTCTTCTTCATCCCTCCTCCTCCTCACCTGAATGGCCCGCACGCCGTACTTGAAGTCGTATGTTGCATCGGCATGGGAGGGGCGGTAGGCCAATGCAATTTCAGAATAGTCCTGAAAGGGATGGGGGTTGGTGGAAGGGGGATGAGGGATTGGGGGTTCGAGAGAAATTCATGGAATTCACAGTGTTAAGAGAAGGACGCAGATTTCACCCACCCGTTCCCCCTTTGCTCCTCTCTTCAACGCACCCCTTCCCCCTCTTCTCCTCTCCTCAATACACCTTTTCCCCCTCCGCTCCTCCTCTCTTCCACACACTCCTTCCCCTGATGCTCCCCACTTCCACTCACACCCTCCCCCGCTGCTCCTCACCTCAATTCCACTCACCCCTCTCCCTCCTTTCATCTCTTCCACTCACCCCTCCCCTCTGGTCTTGGTTTGGCACGAGAACCGCGATTGGCGTTCCAAGCGTCACCCCTGCAGACGATGACCAGGGAAGAGGAGAGTTAGGAGAGTGAGGAGTAGAGACAGGAGAATCGAGTGAGTGAGGAGGGACAGGGGAGTGAAAAGATTTCTGTGAGTGAGGAAAATGAGAAGATTGAGAAGGTGAGAAGAGTGGATAGAGTAGGGAGAATGAGAAGAGTGAGGGAAGCGAGGAGAGTGAGGAGGGCGAGGAGAGTGAGGAGGGCGAGGAGGAGAGTGAGGAGGGCGAGGGGGAGAGTGAGGGGGGCGAGGAGGAGAGTGAGGAGGGCGAGGAGGAGAGTGAGGGGGACGCGAAAGAGAGTGAGGAGAGTGAGGAGAGTGAGAGGAGTAAGGAGAGACAGGAGGAAAGAAAGAACAATAACGACGTACCTTCAGCAGTGCCTGACAGAATCCGGCACGTGTCTGTCTCCTTGCGGGGTGTGGTGATTCGCGACTGGCCCGGCCGACTGCCAGAAGGAGAAGGGAGAGAAGGTGGGGGGGGGGGGGGGGGGGGGGGGGGGGAGGAGGGGGGGGTTAAGAGAAAGGGGGGGAGAGGTAGGAAACGGAAGCTCTGAGCTGACTTGACATGCGAATCCAACCGGCACGTGTCTGTCTCCTTGCGAGGGGTGGTGATGCGGGACTGGACTGGCCGACTGGTAGGAGAAGAAGGGAGCGAGAGGCGGGGTAAGAGAAAAGGGGTGAGTTAGAACAGCATACAAGACAGAACAAACAAACGAACAGTCCACCAAAACAAAGAGATTTACCCTCAACGAGAATCCATCCGCAATGCCACGGCCGGGCCAGTCGCGCTTACCACCTGTCCAGGTCGACCTAAAGGTCTTTCTCTGTGAGCGGTAGACGTGTTCCCATCAAAACACAGGGACCCCAACAAGGCTTCACTGGAGCATTGTGAAAAGCACATTTCGAAGCCGTTTCGAAATTGCATACCGCCGCCAGACCAGGTCGACCTGGAGGTCTTTCTTTAGGAGCGGCAGATCGTGCTTCGAGTGAAAGAAATGAACTCCACACTTAAAACTCATCCGCATTGCCACATACCGCCTGTCCAGGTCGACCTAGAGGTCCTTCTCTGTGAGCAAGAGACGTGCGAGTAAAAATGTACAAAATAAAACTTAACCCTAACTACAACTCATCCGCATTGTCACATACCGCCTGTCCAGGTCGACCTGGAGGTCCTTCTCTGTGAGCGGCAGGCGCGGAGGGCAACCGTCGACGACGCAGCCTACCCCTCCGCCGTGCGACTCGCCGAATGTGGTAACCCGAAATGCGGTGCCGAAGGTGTTACCCGCCGCGCGGACAGCTGTAATTGGTGACAAAAGGAGCAGAAAGGATAAAAATGTGAAAAAACAAAAACATTGAATTACAGACAATTCGACACGACGCGTATGTCAATCAAAAAGCGGAAGCCGGAGAAAGAACTGGAACTGCGGACTGAAGGATCGCGCGAGAAGCTAGAAGAATCGTTCGGGAATGGTTCCGGAACGTACTCAGATTCCTTCGGTTCGGCGTGGTTCGAACCAATCGTTGTCCGGCGTCAAGGCCTGAGCTTTCCCCGAAAAATGTGCCTCGAGAGACGTCATTCCGAGCTGATCCTTTCAAGAGCGATCTTCGAGGCGCCCTTGACGGACCGCCGCGAACTAACGGGGCGAGGGCTCTGCTCGTCGTGCACGCAATGGCAGCCTCCATGATTAGAGTTAGCGGCGTTGCTACACGCGGAGCAGAATGTGAATTGTGGTAACAATCAACGAGAGTCCTAGGCACAAAGGAGGAGCCCCAGACTAAGTTCAAGGACACACTTAAGGCAAGTCCTAAACACCTAATCAAGACCCCCAACTCTGTGTATGGAAGAGAAAGAAAGGGAGCAGAAGGGACGAGTTGACAGGAAGAAAGCCAAATATCCACAATAACGGATTCGGATGCTTCTAACGAAGAGTCCAGATTATGCACTAAAGCGAAAGAGGCTAAAGATACCGTTAATGTTTTGTGAATTGTTATTAGGTATAGAAAGTGTTGTAACAAGTGGGACGCTCGTGTGATAGGGCCCGTGTTAGTCTTGGCGCTTCAACACAAGGCCCTATCACGGTGCGTGAAAAAAGCTGACGGTCTGCCCACAACATCCAGTCAACAAAATTCGGTGGAATGTGACAGGTCTGGACATCACGATCATGTAACCAAGTTATCGTGTTTCTTTTCGCCTCAACGAAAAAATACCGAATGCACGAATCCCTCAAGTAACCAGAATGCGAACATCGAGCGAACTCAAGTGTCGCCCACAAGCTAACTATTGCCAAACCCCGCTGACTGGCTGGGCTGACCTAATTTTTCCACTGCCGTTCCTCGCCTCCTTCCTGGCAGCGGCAAAATCAGGTCAGCCCGCCCAGTCAGCGGGGGGTGGGAACCTCTCGGTCGCAGGCGACTGTGCAAGCCGCGACGCGAGAGGGAACGTTGCGGATGCGCACACTTTTGCACACTTTTCTCCCAATACGTTCCCCTTTCCCCCTCATCCCTCCGAGCCACTCCACCCCGCCCCACCCGCTCGAAACCGCTCCACACCGCGTAAAACTGCCCCACTACACCCCACTACACCCCACTCCGCTCCACTCCGCGCCACCTGATTGGCAATGCAATCGTTCCTTGCGTGCACGGCTAAATCATTCCTTCCATGGTCGGCAATCCAAGGTTTCTCAGATGCCACTGCCACTCCGCTAAGTGCCAGCAGCTCCTAGGGAACCTCTCATCCTAGGCTTGGTCTGGTCACGACGAGCGATGATGCGACTCCACGTAATGAGTACTTATGGCGTTGTCGGGGGTAGTAATCGTCAGTCCGATCAAACATTCGCCTTTCTATCCAGAACACGGCATTCACCAAACCAGTTTATCTGTATTCATCCAGCCTACTTGAGCTCCCACAACACAGAAGCCCACGAATATCAATATAATATTATCTATCAGTTGAACCAAGCAACAATCGATTTAGGTTATTTGAGTTTACTGAAATATCCATGGCGCAGCGCAACTCTCTGAGCGCCTTCGTTGAGAAGTACGAAGTCAGGGAGGATCTGGGAAAGGGACAATTCGGCGTTGTTGCGGAATGCGCGGAGCGTGCTTCCGGCAGGCGACTCGCCTGCAAGGTGGTCGCGGCGCGCAAGCAAGCAATGGACGCGGCGGGGCGCGAAGTGGTTGCGCTTTCGCTGCTGAAAGGGTGTGAAAATATTGTTACTCTCGAGGATGTTTTTATCGGGGAGGAGGGGATGGGGATGGTGCTTGTAATGGAGCTCGCTACCGGCGGCGACCTTCTAACGCGGATAGAGCAGAAGGGGCGGATTCCGGAATACGAGGCGCGTGAGCTGTTCAAAGGAGTCGCCATGGCTTTAAAGCAGTGCCACTATAACGGGGTCATTCATCGCGACGTCAAGCCCGACAACGTCCTCTTGTTTCCCGCCAAAACTTCTCCTCTAGGGCAAATCCCCTCGGAAGGCGCTTCACCCAACAGCGTGTCTTCCAAGGTAATTCTAAGAAGCGACTTCAGGGGACGCGGTTGCGAATACATGGCGAAGCTCGCGGATTTCGGCATCGCGAGGGTGCTTGCACCAGGGGAGAAGACCGACGGTTACGCAGGAAGCTTCCCTTATGAGGCTCCCGAGGTTATGGCGGGAAAACCGTACGATTTCTCGGCAGACATTTGGAGCCTCGGTGTAACCCTGTACGCGATGCTGTCGGGGAAATGGCCGACTTTCGCGAACAGTCGCCGCGCGTTTGACGAGAGCAAGGACTGGGATTCCCCCTGCTGGTGGATCATCTCAGGCCGAGCGAGGAATCTCATCCGTTCGATGCTCGCAACTGATCCGCAGATCCGACCGTCCATTGACGAGGTTCTGAGCGACCCTTGGGTTTGCAACAGCTCTTTCCTTCCATCCTCGTTCTCCATCTCTGCTTCTTGTGGGGGTACCCCCAAGCCGGCTTCCTCAACTGTACAGCCTGCTGCCTCCGCCGTCCCACCTGCTACCTTCACCATCCCACCAGCCCCTGCTTGCACTGTCACCCCTGCAGCTGGATCTACCATTAATCCTTCACCTGCCGTCGCCGTCGCACCCGCTGCAACCCCTAAGACCCGCCCCCCAGCCACTTGTGACCCTTCCTCTACCTTCATCTTCCCACTTGCAACCCTCACGATCAAGACCACGTACAAAACTACGTGCAGCACGGTCAAATCCTGCCGGAAGCTTGCTTCCGATGTGCTGCAGCGGAAGCAGTGGCGTCGACACGGCGCGGTTACCAGCAAGCTCTCCCCATGTGCCAGCAAGCTCTCTTCGTGCAACAGCTCGTTGTCGCGGCGACACAGCAGCAGGTCGCAGCGGAGCTCCTTCCCTGCAGCTTCAGGGAGGCTCAGTGCGCGGGTTGCTGACATGGCAGTTGCTGCTGTGGGAGAGGCCACTGCTGATGGGGCTTTTGATGCAACAGAAGTCCAGTGGTCCTTCTAGAGTGAGAGAATGTGAAAAAACGAGTCCCAGTGGTCTTCGTTATAGACATCTTTAGGGAGGCTCTGTGGATTTGGTCGCTGCAGTGCCGGTGACTGGGGCTGATTATGGCATGGGAGAGTCACAGCACGCAGGTGTGCGAAGGTCTATCTCCATGCAGTGTGACAGGGGAGAGGATGGTAATGGTGTAGAGCGGGCAAGTTGGGTAAAAGGGGCCATGACAGCCAGGCCCTCAGATTTCAGGAATTTTACCCTGATTTTGTCTATGAACCCTGATTTTCAGGGTATTTTTAGGTCCCAACCCTGATGAGAAAGTTTTTTTATTCATGCCTACACTGTTTTCTCAGCTAACTTTCTTGTACCAGGCCTGAAATGTCAGCCTACTTTTGCTAGGGGACCCTGATTCGAATCATACAGTAGTGGGGCCAACCTTGTTAGCGAAATTGCCTAGATTCGATGAATCTGGCAAAAAAATCGCCCAAAATTTTCGCCGTCACCATCAATCACGTGAAACGGCATCTTAGGGCTGTTTCCTACACCCCCCTTATCTTTATCTTGTCAGACTCGCCTCAGACACCATTTGTTTGGTTTAAACCGACTCTTCATTTCACTTTTTGTTGATTGGCGAAGTGCAAGACAGAATGCGTGGGGTGACGTGGCACTGCGCAACGCTCCCGAAAGGTTGTTGAGGAACATTCCCGACTGTTGCTTGCGAGCGCTTGTCTGATTTTGTCTCGTATGTTTGAACGTGACAAAACAGAGACCTTTAGCACACGCGATTGCCTAACCTGGACCACCATTGGTGCACCACCACTGTCTCCCTCCCCCCGTTCCCATCACATTATGATGAAGGCTGGTTACATCAGCGTTAAAAAATGTACCAGCCCTGATAAGAATTTTTTTTTTTATGTGACAACACTGATTTTTCAGGGTTTATTTTTGTAACGACCCTGACAGAAAGTTTTTTTTTTTGGACCAACACTGATGAGAAAGTGTGGCCCAAAACGAATCTGAGGGCCTGATGACAGCTGCATGGGTTTTCACATAGCTGGTATGGTGTTGGACTAGATTCACACTTCAGAGGCGCCTAAAGAACACTTATGAGGCATTGACAACCTGGAATGTTCTTTAGGCGCCTCTGAATGTTATGACTTATTGGCTTGCTAGTTGAGAGTTTGTAACGGAAGTGTTTGGGGATTAGGGTTTAGGGTTCAGTGTTTAGCGTTTAGGGATTCGGGGTTCAGGGTTTCACAAAAAAACACCGCAGGAATCCCCTGGCAAGGCCACTCGAGCAATTACCGTATCAGTGAATAGTAGAACCACGCGAGCAAATGTTGGCCACGTGTGCAACACCGAATCTCCAAACAAGGGTTTGGAGCAAATCTCTCGGTTGTCTGTGGTATCTTTCAACTGTCACCCACCACATGATTTCCGAGCCAATCGACGCTAACTAAAAACAATGCCTTCCAGATCAGAATAGGTCCTTGTACACCCGTACACCCACCTACACCCCTCGTTCCTCATTCCCTCCCCTCATAGCCGCGGCGAAGCGCCTTACCTTTCCTGCCTATACCTTGTTCTCGATTATTTCACAGGGGTTAAACGCACAACGCGACTCGGGATCGCCAGCGACCTGACGACCATGCCTAGGTGGCAGCGGTTGGTGGTGTTCCAGCTTCCTTGGAAGCAGGAACGCTTTTCGGACCTAAGTGTGTTGGGGGGGTGAATCTGTTGAGTCCGAAAGCTGAGCAAGGGGTGTTGGAAACAATTGATTTAAGCGCCTCTGTCGTGTCGAAACACCAAGTCAGAAGCGAAGCAGAACATATCGAAGCATCAGCGAGTCAACCCTCGGAGGTTGAACAACTGCTGGAGGTTACGCGAAAGTCAAAGGTCAGCGACCTTTGACCTGACAAGTACAGCGCGACAGCAAGGACAAACAACTGACTCGCTATTGAGCAGTTGCCCGAGTCGTCACTGTATCGAACCGCAACAGCAATGGTAAAACGGTTATTAGTTATAACCCTTCATATTCCCTTGTATTCTTATAAAAGCTTGTATCTCTTTGCTATTAATCAATCTACTTTGCCCTCACATACTAGCGCAAGGTGGTTCATAAGTTCTCATTAAGATGCTTCCGCTATTACATTGTCCTACTCAGAATTTAGTCCTGCAAAGATCCTAAGGGCTTTTCTCAGCCCAACATGGTAT